TAAATCCCGCAGGCAAAGTTGACCTTAGATGGATTTGACTATTTTCGAGGTAATTTTTTTTTGTCACATAAGTCATCAACTGTTTCGGTTCTTATAAATTCTCGGCTTTCAAATATTCGGTTTTGAGCGTTCCTGATGAAGGTAAATCCAGAAAAGCGCTTCGGACGCATGAAATTATTTCACGTATTGTTTTCATGTTTTACAGCACTGGATCGATACCTCTGCTGGTGGACTATCAGTCCCCGAGGGTATCATCAGCTCAGTAGTCAGTACTTCGGTACTGACATGATTTATAACAAGCCTTTTTTTAAATTGTCCGTTTATAATTTTTGAAATTATAAAGAAAAAAAGGTTCAACTCCCTCAATCAAAGTTGACCATAGATGGATTTGGCTATTTTTAGGTTGGTTTTTTTTGTCACATAGCTCTTCAACTGTTTCGGTTCTTGTAAATTCTCGGCTTTCAAATATTTGGGTTTGAGCCTTTCTGATGAAGGTAGATCCAGAAAAGCGCTTCGGAGGCATGACAAAATTTTACGTGTTGTTTTCATTTTGTACAGTTTTATTTATAAACAACAAGAAAATTGTGAAGCTTGACATTTTCAAATATGGAGGAAGAACGTTTCTACGATTGAAACCCATCGGGTTTATATAATATGCTTAATGACAAGGTGTTTGCCTTATGAAGATGTTGTTATCTTATATCAATGTTGTTATATGTTATGACAATGTTGATATCATCTCAAGAACACTTTGTTTTAGTTACCAAATGTCAAACGTTTGGTTATGTGTGATACACGATAGGAGGGTCTAAATTGCACTCGAAAGCTTTGGTTATGTGTAGATACACGATAGGAGGGACTAAATTGCACGAGAAAGCTCTGCTTTCGAGTGCAATTTAGACCCTCCTATCGTGTATCACACATAACCAATCGTGTGCCATTTGGTAAATCACATGTGCCAAACGTTCATTCGACGTCATCGCTAGCCGTCACGTTGTTTTCCCGCGGTAGAATTTCAGTTTGCGGTTTGATGTGTAAGGAGCAAAATGGATAATGCCAAAGTGAATTTACTAGAAACGGATTTTTTATATGCCCACTGGGATCTAAGTGTTGACGACATTACTTTATCCCAAATATGTACTGATATGGAAAATGAACACAGTTTTTGAAAAAATGGACGATTTAACCCTTTCACAGGCGTTAGATAAGTACGAAGTTGACATGGATGTGAACCACGAGGTAGATATTTCTCAATTAGATTTTCAGTTAACACAGGTTCCAATAACAGCCGACAATGTAATTGAACAGTTGGAGAAAATCATCATGCCGGAAACTAATGTCGCGGTAAAAGCAGAGGGTCATGTTAATAATGGACGGTATGGTAACTTCGTTAACGAAATGGACATTGACATTTTAGTTAAATCCACCGAGAGTAAAAACACCAGAAAGAATACAAATTGGAGTATATCTACGTTCAATGATTGGAGAAGTGCGCGCATAGCAAGCACGAGTTGTGCCATTCCGGAGCTCACAAGATTTACAGTTGGTGACATTAATCAATGGATGAGCCGTTTTGTGATTGAAACGAGGCGGCAAGACGGAAAACCGTACCCACCGAAAACATTGTACATGTTGTGTGTAGGAATATTGCGGCACCTACGTGAAAATGAAATTCATATCAATTTCTTGGACGAAAAGGACTCGCAATTTTATGAGTTTAGGCGTTCGCTTAGTGCTAGAATGACACAGCTAACGGCAGAGGGAATAGGGACAACTCCAAAACAAGCAGAACCTATTAACCAGGAGAGTGAAGATATTCTTTGGGAGAAGAATTTACTAGGAAACAAAAGTTCGAAATCTGTGCTTAACACTATGTTTTTTTACAACAGCAAACTGTTTGGTTTAAGGGGTGTAGACGAACACAGGAACTTGTCAACAGATCAGTTTAAAATTGGAAAAGATCAAAATGGACATTACATTGCCTTTTCTGGAAGAGCTAGCAAAACCTACAAAGGTATGTATTATTAAAAATTAAAAGTTAACAATTAGGTTGTACTGTAATAAGAAGGTCAAGGTGGAATCGTTAATTTTCGGAAAATCAAAGTGTCTTCTTCGAGGTCCGCGTTGATATTGTTATTCAATGTTTAATCTTTATGTTTATCTAATGACGTAAATTTATACATTGTCAAAATTCAAATATTCGGCTTTCACTCTTGAGCATTCCTGAAGAAGGAAAATCCAGAAAAGCGATTTGGACGCATGAAATTTATAAAGTGTTTCATTTTTTGGTAGCAATCATGAATGATTTGGGATTCGAAACCTATAAAATATCTTATCGTATTATCTATCTTATTATAAGTCATGGCATGCATGAGGGTGTTGAAGGGAGTTTGCAGAAAAGAGAATATAAACGGGAAAAACGTATAAAGACTAGAGAATAATGAGGTGCTAAAATATAAAAAATAGAGAAAAAATGGCATGAAAATTGAAGAATACTGAAATGAAGGACCCCATCAAGATACTTATGCAAGTTTTCCCGAATGATTATGTATACAAATTTCACTAATAATTTTGATATCATGATTAAAATATTTATAAAGTTTTTTTAAGAAGTTAAGACACATGAACTAGATATATAATACACACATAAACATTTAATTCCGTTTCTAGTAATTTTGTATTAAATATCTTTTATCCTCGGTGTTTCAGGAGGGCTTCATCAGAGACACCTGACTGCAAAAAACATAAAGCACCATTTCCAAAATCTTAATTTATTTAAGATTTATGAAGATTACCTAAGTATTATTTCTGAAATGAACGGGAACTCGTTTTACAGACGACCTTTAGAGAAAGGTTGTGAAATCAAATTCAGTTCACAGCCATTAGGTGTAAATAAATTGTCATCAATAATGAAAAGCATGTGTTTTGAGGCAGGAATCGAAGGTTACTTTACAAACCATTCCGGAAAAAGGACGTGTGCAACATCTCTCTATCAAGCTGGCGTTCCGGAGCAAGAGATAATGAATAGAACCGGACACAGATCTGTTGAAAGCGTTCGAAAATATAAACGAGCTTCAACGGAAATGCTAATGGATATTTCAAACATTCTTGAGCCAGGAGGCCCGCCAAAGAAATGTAAATTGGAATCACAAGACAAAGAAGAAAGCATGGACATGGGCAAATCTGGTCTAGACAGTATTAATTCCGGTAATGCTGATGGCAAATGTGTGTTTTCGCAGTGCGTGTTCAATTTTACGGGAGGAAATTAGATGTTTTCACAAAATCATATTTTAAGTGATATATATTCATTACGGAGTTAATGTGATATATTTGATTTTCCTTAGTTCTGATTGAGTTACAATGAAGTGTTTTGGGAAATACTACACTGTAGTTGATATGTGGGAATATAAATTTTGAGTTATTAAAAGATATTAATTAAAATAAAATTTTATGTTTTACTGATGCAGTATGGCTTGAAATCAAATATGTACAAAGATAAGATTATGTGGTATAAATGCCTATGAGACAACTATCTGCCCGAGACTAACGAAGTTGATGTAATTGTCGAAACTTTCGTACTCATTTTTGATTGATTAGCCAATCAGTAGCAACATCCAAAACTGTGATGATTATCTGTTGTGTGATTGGCTTACCAGTCAAAAGTCCTTTAATACGCCCATAGTGTATGTGTAGATACCTCACACTTTTTACAACAGAAAGTCGAATGAACTATGGTACATGTTGTTTTATAACAATGATTTTGCCGTTATATTGCAAAAAACTGTAAAATGATGATATTTTCATGAAAAGTTATAAAACAGATATCACATGTGAAGCAGGATAATTTGACCTTCAAGAAGTACTTGCGATCATCACTGGATGCTGAACAGCTTTTAGTTTCATATACAGTGGATTCAGTATTATTCTTGGGATAAAGAAACACAAGCAAATGCATGTCATATCAACTGGGTGATATATACTCCATATGAAAGCGCTGCTGGAATATTGCTATATTGTAATTAAAAATTCACAATAGAAAAGCTCAATCGACCCTTGTTGTCAATTCTAGATGAAGGTTAAGATATAAAGCAGAGCCCGAATATTGTTGATATTCGCATATCACATTACAAAATTAGTTTAGAAATAAATAAAAGAGTAAGTTATACGCTCATTTCTGGGATTAAAAACAAAACGTAAGTACTCACACAGTGTTTTGTCATCGTACCAGGCGACAAAGCAGCCAAAAATGTGGCGATGGTATGACGTAATTACTACACGGAAATCCTTAAGAAGGAAATCATACATTCAACTCCATTCAAGGCCGTACGCTCCACAACCAGTAAATAATCAAGTCACTATCACAACTCAGCTTAACGCCTTCTCAGAACATTTGAAGATCACCGATTAAGTTAGAGACACAATTCGTTCGCTATGCCCATTTTTGTAGTGTTACACCGCTGTCTCAGGTTAGAGGGTGTTGGGGTCTTCAAACATTCTTTATGTATATATAAAAAAGAAGAGGTGATAAGATTGCCAATGAGACAACTCTCCACAAGAGACCAAATGACACAGAAATGAACAACTGTAGGTCACCGTGTCTCAAGGCATTTCCATGTAGTTCAGTTTGAAGCTGTTTCATGTCTATCATATTTGTATTTCGTTAATTCTTTTGTGATAAATTAGGCCGTTAGTTTTTCTCAATTTAATTGTTTCATACTTTTCATGTCGGAAACTTTTATAACCAACTATACGGAATGAGTTTTTCTCATTGTTGAAGGCCGTGCGGTTGCATATAATTGCTTACATCCACTCTACCATTTGAACTTTGGTGGATAGATGTCTCATTGACAATCATACCACATCTCCTTTTTTATGTTAACGGTGGTAGTGGTATTCTTAAATCAAATTTCAATGGGATAGATGCATTGAACATAGTCAATAAACTTTGAAATATTTCTTGAAATGACACCAATTTCATAGCGGCACGTTAAGTTAAATGATAATGCTAGCTTCTTTTAATTAATCATAAGAAGCTAATGTATGAAGTCTGCCTCATACGAATGAAGGAATAAGTCGGCACGAAAAGGGTACAGTAGATTCCCATAGGTATGACGATTATATATGCTTTACAACGAGTTCTCCAAATGTAGCAAATATTGTATAATTCAAGAAATTGAACGTAATTATAAAGTCAGTTTCAGAAATGTTTAGTTTGAATCAATGTGATTTACGAAGAATGATGTATTCCTCCTTAAAACAAGATATTTGAATCTACGTTGAACATTCTTTTTTCATGAAAGAAAGTTGGAACAAAACCTGTCTCTAGATTTGGAATGCGGATACTGGTGTTCATGGTAGACAATAAAAATGTTTCACTATTGCAAGATGAAAGAGACTTAGATTGTATGTATTTGAAACAAATCTTTAGAATAAAATTATTTTTTGCTGAATATGTCTCTTTTTTTTCATGCTATGCTAGTTTTTGCTTGTCTCGGTGGCATCACGCAAATGCATGCTTACATTTATAGTTGATTCCATCTGAATATTGTAATCAAAAACTGTAAGGTGATTCCGGAGAACTTTATTTCTAAAGAAGAGCATCTGTTGTTCAGAAGGCATTCCTGATTCCTCATGAACCTTCTCCTTTACATCACTTATTGTATCAGTTAACTTAACATTAACTGCATATCTCATTCCAGTTAACGTTTTTACTGTTATCTAAAAAAAATAAAGTAACAGATACATGTACAGTCTATGTAAAATATAAGTTTACAAAAATAAGTTAACAAAAATACAAAATTAACGAACTCCAAGGGAAATTTCGAACGGAAAAATTTATGAAATTGCAAAATCAAACGCTCAAACACATCAAAGGAATGGAAAAACTGTCATGTTCCTGACTTTGTACAGGCATTTTGTAATGTAGAAAATGGTAGATAAAACCTGGTTTTATAGCTAGCTAAACCTCTCACTTGTATGACAGTCGCATAGAATAGGTTCAATACATCATAAGTTAAAAAAGATTAGCGGGAAAGTTGGAAGACAACTAACAAGATTCAATCATATTTTAAAAACATGCAAATATTGGTTAGACGTCGACGTAAGCGATATAAATATCGGCGTGCCGGGTTGTTACACAAACAATTCTTAAATTATTAAACATACACATGAATAATGTTGTCCTGTCCCTGCTTGTTAGAACCAGAGTACATGTTAAGATATGACGAAGTTGTCTTTTTTCAATACCTCATGTTGAACTTTATTCACCATTTTTTTTAATTTTCTTTGGTGAATCAATTTGTTGTGTATATGTAGCACCTCCTTTTAATTATAAACAAATGTTGAAGTCGCCTCCATCTACATCACAAAAGTATGAATAAGTGCACACCTACCGCAATATTAATAATGGAAACAGTACAGTCAATTTGGAAATTAAAGATATACTGAACAATCTTACATACCACAATCTCGTCCTGTACAGGAGGTTCGAAAATCGGCACTGACTCAGCAGAAACCTGAAAAGAAAGCTTTTCTCATTTTTAAGTTATTTTACATTTGAATTGATATAACATGAAGTTTCATCCATTACAAATTACTTCGGTTTCGAAACTATATAACGATTATTAATTTTCCGGACTTTTTTTATTTGATAACTGGGCTTAACATAACAATCAACTTCCACAGAAAAAGTTCTAACGATTCCGCTGGCTGTTCTTTTTAAGCTAGTTAATTTTTGATGCGTCCAAAATACTTTGACCTTATTAGATGCAAAGTGATAAGAAAATTGAAAATAAAGGACGAACTATTTGAACATGCCACGCTGTCTTATCTGAAAATTACTTAATTTTATATTAAAGTAGACGATGTCAATTTCGATATAATAAAATATATAGACTGTGTTACTTATATAGAGTATGAATTTCATTTCTTCGTCTATTGCAAAAGAAGCAAATATGTAAAAAAAAAATAGTTCACTGAAATTGTTTCTCAAAGACTGACTTTATGAATTTCACTTGCAAAAAAAAAACTACAATATACATTGAATCCAACAAGTTTTCAACAGGTACAAAGTCTAGGCTCTTTTTTAAAACTGTCATTGGAACAGAAGACAAGGGACTCTTAATTTACTGATTGATAAAAACAATTTGTTGTATATATGTTTTAGGTAATTTATACTTTGATTGTCACAAGCTTAAGGACAATAAAGACTATAACTAACAAAATAAATGTTACAAAAATATATTATTTAAGGAATAATTGTAATATTTTTTCTGTCTATGAAGAAATAACATCAAAAATGTGATGCACACTGAATAACCCGCGTAGAGGGTCATTTTAAAGTGTGCATCACATTTTTTATGTTATTTCGAATAGACAGATAAAATATTACAGTTATTTCTTATAATTTAATTCTAAATTCCATTTTAAACCGGAGTAAACAATGAAAAAACGTTGATGACGTCACGGTCACATGACTAAATTATGTCTATGAGCTGATAAACAAAACAACGTCAGCCAATCAGAAGACGCGTTACATCCAAAATTAAATTATTAAGTATTGTTAAAAAGAGGAGAAGAGGAAATAGCAATTCTAATCAGTATGTATTCGAAAATATGCTATGCATGCTATCTATTTGATTTACCTTTAAAAAATTCTTCACCAAAGATAAGAATTAATTCCCGTAATACCTTTATCAGATAGAGTATTAATTATCATTATTTTTTTACATTAACACGATTCAAATAAAAGGTCAAAATTTTTGCCTTCCTGAAATTTGCAAAATATGTTAAAAAATGCAAAAGATCAATGCAAAAGATGAATTTGAAATAATGCCGACTTAACATCTGCTATGAACATTTTATAGTCAGTTATTTGACAAAAAAAAAATGAATAAATTTAACTGAAGGAATAAATTTTGTAGATTAAGCAGTTGATCCATTGATCTGAAATGTGACAAGTTTTGAATTTGAAAAGTGCAACTGTTATTTTATATTTTATTTGTACCATGTATATTCACACATGTATCTCCCATTTGTTAAGATATTCAAGAGTATGCGTACCGTTATGGAATATCTGTTTCACAGATGAGGACGGATATGTTTCAATTGTCACAACAATAATATCATCCTATTTTCCTCAAATGCGACTTTCCGAATTATACTTATCACCGGGTTTGTACTTACATGAGCAACACGACGGGTGTTACATGTAGGGCAGGATCTCCTTACCCTTCTAAAGCACATGAGGTCATCCAATGTTTTGGTGGGGTTCGTGTTGCTCAGTCTTTAGTTTTCTTAGTTGTGTTTTGTATACTGTTGTATGTCTTTTCGACGATTTTTGTTGTATGCCATGATATTGTCAGTTTGTTAGCTTGAATATCACTTCGGTATCTTTCGCTTCTCTTTTGCTCTTGTGGAGCTTAAAAGAATCGGTCATAAGCAATGGAAATAATGCCTTGTAAACGTAAAAGCTAAGAGCCAGTAATGTTCTTTATCAAAAGTTATGAGTTAAAATAAAATGAGATTGTTGGCAGCTTCTTTATTACAACGTACAAAGTACAACGTTAACCACGAAAAACTTATTAAGTCTTTCCACTTATCATTTATTTTTCTTCCGCCACTTTCATTTCTTGCGAGAAGATTTTATTTCGCATGATTCCGCTTAGATATTTGGTATATGATATCGAACAGTTAATACGCTTTTCAAACTGACACCGTTTAACATTTTCCTTTGTATGAGTTATCTCCCCAAACACTGAGTTTTTCTTGTGATCGCTACTTCTTCGCAACCGTAAAAGAAAGAGACAAATTTATTTTTTCAAATTGCTCCTTACATCTCCAGGTTGTCGAAAATAAGCTGTGATAATTCAATGATAAAAATGGAAAAAAAATAATAGCTTTATATCATACAATGGTTCATAAAAGATATAACAACAACTATACTGACTTTTACGATAAGCTCCACCTTATTATGTGAACAAACTTTGACAAACAGCCGGACTAAATAGCATGCACAGTATATTTTCAAATACACATTGATTAGAATTGTGGTTTATTCTTCTCTTCTTTTTAACAATACTTAATAATACACTTTCCTGATTTTAATTTGTAAGTAACGATCTCTAAAAAATAAAAATAAACCACGTTATTGTTACTTCTTACCTGAGTTACATCTTTAATTTTGTTGTCTTTCTTAGCTACTATTTCTACAGCCATTTTTGCACTAAAAATGTAATGATTATCATAATTTGTAGAGCTTAATTTATAACGTACTTATGATCAACGTACCACAGAATTAAAAGTTATGAACATGTTAGAAATTTCTGATATCCCATCCTCCCCTGCCCCCAAATAGACTCTTCAAAAAGAATAAAAGAACAACTCACACCTCTGTTCGCCAGTACCCATCATCTGGAAACAACTTTTAACCAATAAGGTATACTTAGTGAATCTGTCTTTATTCAAAAGGAAATAGACTTCTATTCCAGTTGTTTGGGGCATGTATGAGACACCCGTACATGGAAATACAACCTCATGCTACGTTCAGAATATTAATCTTTTAAAATCATTTCTTTACAAGAAAACTCTGAAATCAGTGACATGTTTAAACTTACAGATACAAAGTATGCAATCTTGCTTTTCCTATTGCATGGAACACAAATCATAAATAGATATAGGCAAGTCAACTGCTAGCATGCGCATAAATGGACTTGGAAAAATGTCTAGCTATAAGGCACTCACAAAACTACAATGAGGGACAATATTGTATGGATGTCGACATTCTTTTTATAATGAAGAATCATTTTTACTGGTCCTTTCTATGACAAATAGCTAATGTAAAACTGCATCTTTTATATACTAGTACTGGTTTCTTGTAGAGTAGGTCTGTTTTTATTCCTTCAAAAATTTTAATAAAGACTTTAGAAACAACCGATTGTTGTTTATTTTTATTTTCTGGTCCCTTCTTATGGTATCTATAATGGACTCGATCACTGTGTCTGTGTATGTTGTAACATGTAAGATTTCAATAACCGCAATGTATGAACAACCTATAATCCATAAAATCATTGATTGCGTTACCACAAATTACCTTAAATGTTTACTAAATTCTTTCATAGGTACAACACTTCGGTTTGGAAATTTTATTTCACCTATAGGAGGAACCTTACTAAAACGGGATATCACAACCGTAGCCTTCAGTAGTGTTGTTTATGAAGCTCGTAAATTTAGGAACAGTGTCATTAATGTATTGAATAAACTTACAATTAAAGGTTATCAATTAACATTTGATATTGTCTTTATCTGTACTAACATTGATTCTCTTCTTAATAGATATGTTAGATAAATGTTGACAATTGACAATTTACAGTTGAGAGTGTACAACGGTGACATTTGAATAAGGGATTATCTCAAAAGTGTTAATTCAATATAATTATTGATCTCCGCACGACAACAGCTTTTTAAACACTTCTTCCAAAAGATATAAAACAAACCTTAAAAGTGAAGTCTTTCCTCCTCTTCTAACAATAAGTTGGACATTTGGGTGTTTGAAAAAACGTTTTTATTACATATTTTTTTGTTCATATAGATTGTTGGTGTAGATAGTTGGTAGATATATTAATTGATTGATTGACATTTTGCAAAATGTCATATTTGACGAATTTCACATTCATTCGATTTGGCTTCGTTCGTGTGCTTGAATAAGTGATTATTCGATTCATTGAATGACAGTTTCTAACACAAAGAGGCGTACATTTCATTTGGATTGAGTAACTTATTGTTACAATGACTCCAGTGACAAATATCTAGCGAATATTCGTTACTCAAAGAATGATAAAAAGAACCTCCAAAAATAAAGAATCATATCCTAGATGTAAAAAAAAACACACGGTCACGGATCCAAAGGTCATGGCGCAAAAATGTAGGGACTGGTTCACCTTAAATAGAAGGTTTTTATTTCAGTGCAATATGTTTATTTGTATCAAAATCATGGTATTTCTGGGAAAATTCGAGGAATTAGCACCCCCTCCTTTATCCCCCCAAAAATATCTTGCATTTTATAAACTTCGATAGGAAAATGCAAGGATTAACACCTTCCTAAACTTATCATTGAATCTTCCTTTTTAAATTTTGTTTGCTCTTGAAGTCTTCGAAACTTATGTTTTATTGATTTTTTTGTTTGCATGCGTTCGGTTTTTATTGTAAGCAAAATTGAACATGTATCTTAACTTTTGTTTTTGTTTTTATACGTGTCTATGTGAATCTGAAAGTTTCATCGTAATTTCTTTTCCGACAGTTCCAAGAGAATAGCCGTTGTATTTAATCACTGAAGTTGTAACTGTCCCGTTTCTCTTGTTTTTAGGAGAGGGACATTTTACATGTTTCGTTGAGTAAAGAACTTTTGTGAAATATTCGTCACTGAACATCACACAAACAATCAATAAATAAATTGGAACTATATGTAATATACGTCTCTTTACATTAAACAAACTGTCAAAAAAACAATCAATCAATCAACTAAGCAACCATTCAACCAATACACCAACGATCAACCTGCCAAACAGACATTCTATAACGGTCGACCAGCTGGTGATGGCATCCGTTGATTATGTTTTTTAAGAAATAAAAATGCTTTATGCAAATAATTTACGCCGCGCCGGATAAATAAGAATCCCAATGTTTTTCATTACTCGACATTCGTCACATGCAAGACATTGTTGAAAAAATTGTGACTGGGTAATGATTCTGCGTAAACAGAACAAAAATATTAACTCTTTATGCCTTAAACATCGTTACTAAGAAAACAACCGGATTTTTTTAGGGTGTAGGTATATTTTTTTACCTTTTAAATCGTTCTGTCATCTTTACAAGGATGTCCACAAAGAATGCCTCTTCGTCGAATGTCCTGATGTCATCTGGTTTTGAATATTTTGGAATATCATCCAGTTTGTCAAAGGTGCTCTTGTGTGTACCATAGGACTGATAAAAAATGGTGTCATGGGTCCCTGTCAGCATCTGATCGAAAGTGGAAGTAGTATTTTCATAGTCAACTTTCAGTTTCTCAAGTTTTCTTACTGTCTTATCGATTTGCTCATTTTCTAGTTGTTTATAATCCGTGACTCCATTAACACGGATATCTTTCACAATATCAATTATTCCATGCAAAGCTTCGGCAGTAGACTTTATTTGCAATTCGACTTTATCAGAATCTTGCTCAATTTTCTCGCGATGTCCCGAATTCACATTGTCAATTGCGTCCTTGATTTCTTCTAGTTTCTCTTTCCCTTTAGAAACAAGATGAATAGAATTTTGACGAGCGCTCAGAAATATTTCTTCTTTTACTGAAAATTTGTGTCCTTTATGTTCCGCTAATAAACATGTATTGCATATCAAACACTTGCAATGGTTGCAAAAAAAGGTATACAACTCTTGGTGTGTAGAGCATTTTAACTCCGACTGAAAAACCAATCTGTCAACTTTGTTCAAATCGCTCACTTTGTGCTTCCTAGTGGACGAATGAAAAGATCTACAAGATATACACATTGCTTGTTTACATTCGTAACAAAATATTGAACCGTCATTTTCAGAACATAATTCGCATTTTGTTGCTGATATTTGTGCCATTGTAGTTAATTCAAAGGTGACACCAAATATGTCAACAAGGAAGATGTTTACGTCATATGTAGTTTATAAATACTTCTTTCTTAAGATTATTTTCAATATTAAAGATTTCCAAACGAAACGACACGTAATAATGATATATATAGATCGCTGACCGAAATCTCTTTGATTTAAACATTTTTTTTATCAATGATAGTTTATCTTTTCTAGTGTTAAGGTTCATCATAACAAATGGACAAAAATGGCTGTGTTTAGATCTCAAAAACTACTCTGAGTACAGACTTACATGTGCAGTTTGAAGAGTTTTATGGCCTGGCATCCACTAGATATATAAAAGTTAAATGCATTTTTTGTTTCAGAAAGATAAAATCTTTTTTGGATTTTTATGAGCATTTTTTTTTTTCGTTCCTGCAGAACAAAACTCGGATGTCAAATGTTTATTACAAAACCATGTATATGTTTATCAATATTGCGTTTTGTTGTGTCTGCGTTTGAACAATTTTTTGTTCTTCATCTAAGACGTTTCCTTAATTTTTAGTTTCAAAATGTTATCACAATCAGAACACATTATTTTAAAAATAGATGTTTTGAACAATGGTGTCATCACTTTTATCTAAATTGTTTTTCTACTTATATAAGATAACAATATATAAAAGTCTAAATTGAAAACAACGTTCAAACCTATGATTGCGTTGGATAAAAACCGCAATTTTTATACGTATGCATGCAAAACAAATTTCTTGGTAGAGGGGTCTAAATACAGCACAAACAACATTTTCCAAAAGACCTAAAAAGTGAAAAAATATATTTTAACAAAACGTATTTGACTAGCAGGTCGAACAACGGATGTTCTTAAACCCTGCTGGCTGTCATTGGCGATTGCCATATAAACGGAGAACCAGATGTAACAAAATGGATCTTAACTATTAATTTCATACCAAAAAGAAAACAATAAACTTGCGGAAAAGATGGTATACTGCAAACAAAAGGTGCAAAAATTAGTACACCATATCCGGATTTCGACAATTAATGTCTCTTCAGTGATGTTAGGAATCGAAACGGTATTTGGAAGGCCATATAATTTACCTCAATTTAGGATAGACTCTTGAATTTTGAAGAGTCAAAATAGGATGAACGGATCATATAAACCCGAAGGCAAATATAATACAAGCCCAAACGAAAAAATAAAAACAAGTCTAAATTGAAAACAACGTTCAAACCGATGATTGCGTTGGATAAAAACCGCAATTTTTAGACGTGTACAATAAATATATATACCCTTGGTTGAAATTCAAGTGAATTTACATTATGGATACTATACTTAGTTCTGATCGTCGTCATATCAAATGCATTTGGTCAATAAATCAAATATTTAGAATAAATATGAATTTGTAAAGTATGTGGTGTTTCATGATAATAAATCAAACAAAGGGAATACAAATGTATATATTTTACACTGTTTTTCATTGCTTTACGTCCTCAATGTTTGAAAGCACTAACAGTTGCAAGTTTCATTGAATTTTATCTTTTGAGTTTACTCCCAAATAGTACTTAAGTTATAATCTGCTGTATTTATACATTTACACTCACATTATTACATGTTTTGAGATGTAGGATTCATGCGGTATATTGGAAAATATATCATTTTTAGTATACAATCGTCCAAAAATGTTTTCGCCTCGATCCTCTCTGCGGTGTATATCCAGGTTTATGGCATTACTCCCTCCTTTCAAATATCATGGATTCACCCCTGATTGTGATAAGACCGTTGAAATAAACTAGAATTGAATATAAATGTACACAAAACGTATTACGAGGAACAATGCATTAAATGTTAGTCAATAGAATTCTCGGAATAAGTATTTATTGCAACAGATGCTGACAGTGAAATCTGATCCCTTGAAATGTTATATTTTATGGAAAAAAATAAATTTTGATACATACATGTATACTTGTTAAAGCTTTCTGTGCAATGACAATGACGACTATCTTTTCTATTTTTTTCTTACTTTCTTTATCGCTGATTTTTTCAAAGGCAGAGACAAATTTGAAAAGATCTTCAGAATCAGGAACTAAAGGACAAAACAGTCAGATAACATGGTTTATCTTACAGCAAGTAAATGCTTTGGGGGCAAGACTAGAAAAACTTCGAGATAAAGCTGATAAGAGCAAGGAAAACAATCAAGCATTACAAAAAGACGTTGAAGATCTGAAGAAGAAACAAGGAGGCTCAGAATCTGCAGCGAAATCTTTGACAGAGATGAGAAAAGACATTAAACAACTGAGAAAGAAAGTTAACGGAATTGATGAGCTCAAAAAACAAATCAAAAAGATGGTTACTCAAAGCGAAGCACAAGGGACTAACACAGCGGCTAACCAGAACAATATAAAACACATAAAGACTGCGGTCAATCAGGTAAAGAGTAAAACGAAGGCGATACAATCCACTGGAAACAACAACAAAGGAAAAATAAGTCGGCTAAGATCAAAACTTACTGGACTTGAGCAAAGTGTGAAAGCTCGGCAGAAGATTGTCGATGGCAAGATCACAAGCTTTCAGAGGCAGGTAAACACTGCCATGGATAAAGGTATGTTAGTTATAATTGACATTTCAAATATTATTGTAAAACATTATTATCAAATTTAAAATACATAAATGTATTTCATCAAATCCTATAACATATGCATTCGTATTTTTATTCAATGCCTTTCATTTCCAGTAAAATAAAACCCAATTAAAAACAAAAGAAGAAGTTAATATAGTAACAATAAATAGATTTAAAATCTTTTTAAAAAAAAATATTGATGTAGTGAAAATTGCTTTTTTAATTATCTCCGAAAAAGTTGACCTTACTTATATGGATTTGGCTATTCTTTTTCTGTCCCGGTTTGGCCATAAAGATCATCACGTGTACAGGTACTAATACATCGTGGGATATATATTGTTTTAGTGGGTTTTTTTGTTTGAAGGTCAATCCAGAAATGCGTATTAAGTGTATAATATATTTTTCTAGGAAACGCATTTCAGTTCGAACTTCAAAATAATAAAATATCATAGAAGCGATATTTTTATCTATCTTGTTTACACAATAAATAAATGTCATTCTTTATTCATATTCGACAGCCATGGGTTACGATCCAGTATCATGGACCAGAGGAGGGGACTGGATCGTAACCCTTGGCTAGCGAAGATGTTCTTACTTTTAATAATGTGAATAACTTTAAGATGACTGTTGATTGTCTGTGCATGTCGATAGTTTTAATTGTTTTTTTCTTGTTGTTTAAACAGCATCCAGACCAAAGAAAGGATGTAAGTTATCTTTTTTTATATAACACGTGTTCCTCTAATAATTTGTATGCAAATACGTTACATGGTAATTCTTTTTGCTAAAATTTGAGCTAATCTGCGAATATTTGCTCTTTTGAATTTTCCTTGGAATTCGGTATTTTTGTTAATTTACTTTTTGCTCAATATATAATATAAAGTGGTACGGCTACAAGTATGCCATATTCTGCATGTGATTCGTGTATCATGTCAATGAAGTAAAAACATGAGGGTTTGAATGCATTGGAAAGTCTTTATTTCTTTTTTCAAATAAAATAATTTTGAGATTGTTTTTTTCTTTATTATTTAATTATTTTGCTCATTGTTCTCTATTCTGTACATTTTAGCACCTCATTTTTTTTATCTTTTCTTTATTTTTACCCTTTTTTCTCTATTTGTTTTCCCCATTATTCTCAATGTTTGTACACCCAATCAAAACTCTTATACATGCAAAAACAAGAACACTAAAAAAAGTTGAATTTAATGATATCGGCAAATATTTGTAAGCAACCCAACGAAACTAATATAATCAAGTTTAACCTTTCTGAACAAAAGATACGAAATGCTTCGCAGTATCATAAATTATGTCAACATGAAGCAATAATTGTTGATCGTGTCCCAAATACCCATACTGTAATTTTCTATCTTCTCCTGCGCGGACATGTTCAAAATTCTATATCTCATTTAGCCAATCAATTTCTATCCACATCATACGGTAACCAATCAGAACTGATATTTGTTACGTTAGAATTTTAATATGGCGTGAATATCGAATGAAACTAATAGTTCTGCGCCTTGATGCGAAGCAAAAGGTTATGTGGTATGATTGACCATAGGACAACTATCCTTTGAAGATAAAGGGACAAGGATATAAACAATTAAAGGGTAAATTGTTGGAACTTATGTCTTTGCTGTTAACAATACACATTTGAATTAATACAGGTCACTGTACGACTTAAACAATGAGCAAAACCCACATCGGATATAAAGTCCCCTGGATAACAAATAAATTCCAAAGTAATAAGAGAAAACAGACATAACTCAACTAATAACATCAAACGAAAAAACTATCAATAATGGTAGACAGCAACCATGACACGAAAGCTCGCTGACTGCAGCTCATCGTTTGGTTCACAGGGACATGATGGAAATTTTAACCCTCCTAATAACTTGGGACAGTAGCATAGTAGTACAACATATAAGTAAGTCAGTTTAAAAAGATTTGCTTCATTAGATCGACAATATGATATCGAAGTGAATTTTATGAATGATTTTCTGTAGGTCAGTCCGGAACGTTTGGTGCACACGACTTTCCAACGATCAGGTTTCCAGCTTCAATTGATATCAAGTTCAACCCACAATTTGATGCTACACCTGCTCTTGTGTATGGATTGTATTTATACGACACATGGAAGGATACCAATCCAAGGATAATAGCTCATGCAGGCGGTCTTACCAGATATGGATTTAACCTATCTATTCGAACATTTGCAGACACCAAAATGTGGGGAGCTCGTATTTCCTGGATGGCATGTCCTAAAAGTATACTCTAACAGATGCAATAAAATGATGAAGTGATGACTTGTTATTTTTCCCTTTTATTATGGATGTTTTTCATGCAGCTAAATTAATAGCTGTCACAAAATCTTTTTTATATGTATTCCACTGGTATATATCAAACATCTGTTGAACATACTTAAGCAGATTATTAAAGATTTTGACTGAGTCGTCGGTCTAGCACAGTATGTAATACATCGAAAATCGTCACATCTTTTAGTATTGTTTTTTTTTATATTTTCAAAATGCATTCAACATGAATTGCCTCCCCTGTAAAGACGTCATAGCTTAACGCAAAAAGATGTTTTACATCAATGAAACAGCAAACCATCGACTCATAAAAAAAATGAAAATAGTCATCAGTACCGCGCCCCTACTTTATACGGTATTGTCTAATTAAGTTTGCCTTGTATAAAAGTAAGGAGATGTGGTAATGTCGTTAAGGTTTACTCCAACCTCACTAGTTAGCACAGCTTCTAATTTTAGCATTGAGGCAACATATATTTATCGTAAAAGAGAGGTGAACGATACCAGAGGGACATTCAAACTCATAAGTCGAAAATAAACTGACAACGACATGGCTAAAAAAGAAAAAGACAAACAGACAAACATTAGTACACAAAACACAACATAGAAAACTAAAGAATGAGCAACACGAACCCCACCAAAAACTGGGGTGATCTCAGGTGATCCGGAAGGGTTAGCAGATCCTGCTCCACATGTGGCACCCGTCGTGTTGCTCATGTTAGTACAAACCCGGTAATAAGTCTAATTCGGTAGGTCACATTCGTGAAAAGGGGACGGGATTGTAGTTACGACATTAGGAACATATCCGCTATCATCTGTGAAACGGATATTCCATAACTGTCAACCAACTCGTGATGGCGTTCGTAAGCGACCTGTATTGCATCGCATCACGGTGCTATTAGGTATCGATATACACGCGAAACAATTGTACATGTTACAATCTGAAACCCGGTTGAAACAATTCAAACATTAACAACGAGGCCAAATTATGACAGTTTGCTTAATTGTGGATTTGCATATCGGATGATGCATGCATAACAAAAAACGCGCACCTTGTCACCGCATCCGGTCTCTGTCCTTTGCGTGTTCATGCGATGCCCTTGGTTTTGTTTATTACCTTTATTTGCAGTTTCTTTGTCGATTTCTGCGATTTGAACATCGTTAAACTACTAGTCCCAAATTTATTTAAGGAATTGTATCCTGAACAATTAACCATAGGCAAGACAATCTATTTGGCATCGACCATTTGTCTCTTTTTCTGAGGACTGGAGAAGGCATTTGCTTCTTTTTACTATAAGGCAAACTGTTTTCAACTACAATAGACAAAAAACTGACCTCTGTTCAATATTAAACACACAGGAATAAAGAATGGAGGTGGATTTTATGAAGTCAGGGTTTTGGACATGTTTACGACAAGGCAATATTGGCTTTAGATGGAAGGACCTGTCATAAGAAAACTGTGTCCATGAATTCATTCATTGATATGTATCTAAATGAGTGTAAAAATAAAGTTCGCAAAAACAAGAGAATAGTGGCACAGTAATCTTATTCCTACGACGATGATTGGAATTGAATGGAATTGTTATTTTTATCGAACGGCCCTTATAATTATTTATTATTATGATTGACTGGCATATCTTCTGGTACTAGCCCGAATAATGAATATGTGCAGTGAGTCCAAACTACAGCGAGTGGAAGTGGACCAAACAATAACGAAAGAGGCTAGTGATATTGCAACTCTTTGGGACTAATCGGTCATATTGTCTTACAGTAGGCATCCGTTATAACTTGAGTATCTGGTTGAAAATTGCCTCATCACCCGAATTCTTTTTCACTACAGACCTAGATAAGTTTCATGTACTAAGGGGGGTAATCGGGATTCACTTCATTATAAAATTCCGATTAAATATTATCGCATCATACTTGATGTCTTAAGTAATAAATTGCAGACATAAGTTCGAGACATCAGGAAGGAGAGAGCATGGAAGGTACTGGAAAAAAATCCAGGATAAATGAATTAAATTAATGATAAAAGTGAAATATAGATGATATATCCTGAGTTGAGATAGGCAATTACAGATGGACTTTTTTTTAATTTTAAATTCCTCAGATTTCAGGCAACTGTCCTTTTCTTATCCTCTCAGAGAAATATACACATGGACATCGACCATATATATACCCTAAGTATTTCCCTAGGGTGTAACTATAAACAGATTGAGAAAAAAAAACTTGCCAAATTGACACAAAACTGTCATGCTAATTACATTTTATCAGATATCTTTATGAATAAAGTTCAAGGATTATATCTTAAAAATTAAAGACCATATCACGTGCTTTTTTGAAATATTATTTATTAATTTTGGCAGGTGGATAAGATTTGGTGCGTTGACAAGTAGGTATTGAAATCATACGAATGAATCCAACCCCTTGATTTTGAACCTAATTATTATCTTGCTTCCTTTCGAAAAATCTTGAAATGTTAAAAATGAATGTCATAATAGAAAAAAAAATGAGGACACGAACAAATTCACGCGCTCTTATTCTTAAGATCTTACACTGGTATAAAAAAAAACGTCAGGGAAATAAGACGATATATCAGGAAACAATTAGAAACATGAAAAAATTTAGATATGGCCACATTGAAAAAATAGTCGTCTAACTACAAATGAAAATAACAGGGTCATGAAGGTCACACAGAATGTGAAATTCAATAGCTAAAGGAAAGTTCCTTTCCGTGGTTGTTCGATGATAAATTGGATGAGGATTTTAAGTCGTCACAAAGCGGTCCTCCGTCTTTTCTCTTCTATTTCTCGTTCACGACTAGTTAGCAAGATAAGGACCGAATCATTGAGTTTGTACACGATAAGAGCAACACGACAAGTGTCTGGAACTGTCGTGTTCGTCAGATCGTCTCTGTGTGTCTGTTTGCATTTAAACAAAAGAGGAAAACGACTATATCCTACAAAGAGGAGTAAAATTGAGTATATATCTTCGTAGTCTTTATCTCTGAAACTTAACAGAAACCTGGGCCAATGTTATTATGAATCGGACATGCCTTACAAGCTGCAAATTAGCTTGACTGTAAAGAATGGTAACTATTCCTTGATATGAGACAACTTAAAGCGTTATACATATTGTAAAGACGCATGTCTATTGTAAAGACTGTTATTACCTATCAATGTAGTTTGCTTATCTTATTGGTTTGGTTACTTTCTTATTAGCGAAACACTTCTCCACCTCTCCTTTTATTCACATTGAAATTATACAATAATTTCTAAATCGATGAATTGCTTAGGGTCTGGATAATATCTACAGAACAGAGAATAATGGGCATAAAATCGAGAATAATGGACAAGAAAAATAAAGAATATAGAAAACTGAGAGCAAAATAAAGAATAATGGGGGTGATAAAATATAAAGAATAGAGAATAATGAATAAAACACTAGAGGCTAATTATATGTGCATCTACAACAATGGACACTATCAAACATTGTGGATTAGATTAGAATTCATGACAAACAGCTCTTTTTTTGTTGATCTTGTATTGCCGATAATTTTTGCTATCTATCTATTTATTATAGTTTTTAAGGTAACAGGTAAAAACACAAAAAAATCGATAAAAATCGTCATTAAAGAGCAATATCTTAGACTACAATAAGGAGTCGACTGACGATTTGAGCCATTAGACTTATTTGTAGATCTTGTTTTACTGCTTATTTAAGTTTTTATCTTTCTAGTATATATATTTTAAAGATACAATGTAAAAACGCAGAATATTTGTAAAAATCGTCATTAAACTTTTTTAAGGGCAATTACTACAATGAGGAGTAATCCGACGATTTCTGCCATGTTTGACTTATTTGTAGTTCTTGTCTTGCTTATCATATCTGTTAAATTAAGTTTCTATCTATCTTTTATATCTACTGTTGTTTGTCAATTGGATTTTTTTTCTTTTTTGGCCATGGCGTTGTCATTTTATTTTCTACTTATGAGTTTGAATGTCCCTTTGGTATCTTTCGCCTCTTTTATAGTATTTAAGATAATAGGCAAACACTAAACATGGGTAAATATCGTCATTAAAGGGCAATAACTGAAATAAGAAGTCATCAAATGATTTCGGTCATGTTGACTTGTTTGTAGATCCTATATTGATGATCAATTTTGATAATTTAAGTTTCTATCTATATATTTTATTTTTTTTAGATGCAAGGCAAATCACAGAAAAATGGTAAAAATGGTTAGTAAAGGGTCATAACTCCAATAAGTAGTCGTCTATCGATTTCGGCCATGTTTGACTTATTTGTAGATCTTGTCTTGTTGATCATTTTGCTTTTTAGAATTCCTCTCTATTTATTATAGTTTTCAAAATAATAGGCAACATGAAAAATGACAAATTTGTCATTTAAGGGCAATCATTTCTTTAAGAAGGTTTTGAACAGGTTTGATGCTGTCAGATTTTTTCTATATAAAGCAGTTTTCAAGATAATAGACAAAACTTGTATTTTACCCCTATGTTCTATTCTTAGTCTTGTCGGCCATATTGGTTGGCTTACGGGGTCACCGGACACTTTGATGATTGTTGCCAAGTTTGAGCTAGTAGTTTCAGAGGAGAACATTTTTGTTAAAGTAAATGGACGCCGACGGACGACTAAGACCGAATGTTGAGGAAAGTTCACTTTGGTCCTTTGGGTCAGTCGAGCTAATAATGAATGGAGAAAATGGCATAATTAATTAAAAGAATTATACACAAATGAAGACCCCCCCCGCCCCCCCCCCCTTCCTCCTGACCCTCAAAACATAGATTTTCATCTCAGCTTATTAAAAAAAGTATACTCCTAAATTTAGAAACCTCTTATCTTATACAATTATACAATAAATGTAAATAAAAAACTTTATTTTTTATGATGCAAAATATATTAATATCATGGTGTCAATAAATACAATTTGATAATGCGCATTTACATGCAGCTATTATATATACCACATTACCTTGTTTCATTTTTATTCTATTCTAAACCCTTCTATGGCAAGCCATTTTACTATTTATTCGAACTTCAAGATATCTCATATAATATATAAGTTATCTTATATAATATATAAGATATCTCATATGATATATAGAATATCTCATATAATATATAAGATATCTTATATAATCTAGTTTTTATAAGATATCTTATAAACTTTATAAGATATCTTATAAACTTTATAAGATATCTCATATACTTAATAAGATATCTTATATACTTTATAATATATCTTAAGTTTATAAGATATCTTATAAAGTATATAAGATATCTTATAAACTATGTAAGATATCTTAATAATATTTTTTTTGTAAGATATCTTATAAATATTTTTTATATAAGATATCTTATACTTTATAAGATATCTTATATAGTTTATAAGATATCTTATACAGTTTATAAGATATCTCATATAATTTATAAGATATCTTATAAATAAAATTATATAAGATATCCTATTCTAAACCTTTCTTTATAAAGAAAATTATATAAGATATCTTATAAACTATATAAGATATCTTATAAACTATATAAGATATCTTATAAACTATATAAGATATCCTATAAACTTTATAAGATATCTTATAAACTATATGAGATATCTTATATACTCTATAAGATATCTTATATACTCTATAAGATATCTTATATACTCTATAAGATATTTTATATACTTTATAGTATATAAGATTCTTTTATATTTTCTAAAGTTTATAAGATATCTTATAAATAATTTTTATATAAGATATCTAATATACTTTTTAAGATTTCTTATATACTTTATATTAAGATATCTCATATAGTTTTTATGATATCTTATACAGTTTATAAGATATCTTAAACTATATAAGATATCTTATAAACTATATAAGATATCTTATAAACTATATTAGATATCCTGAAGTTAGAAAAAATAGTAAAACGGCTTGTTTTACCCTTCCACTTTTTGTCTGAACTATTGAAAGTATCATATTGCATTTACAATAATACAATTGTTTGAATTAAAGGTTAAATGGTATCTTATACAAACATGCATGTATTATGTTTCATACAACCATAATCCTTTTGATAAAACTGCTTTAAATAGCTTCATTCACGCTTTACAATTAAAACGTCTTTAAGATAATGATCTATTTCACTGTTTACCTTTCAATGTCAAGTACGTGCAGAAGTCAAAAGAATTCTTATTTATTTTAAAGTTGAGTAGAAGTAATTTTGTATCAGATGAATATCAGAGAAAACTGTGTACGGTAATTGTAAAAACAGATCATTTAACCTCAACTAGGCCATTAAGACACATCTATATTTTTTTTAACCTGCAGTCATATACAAATGAAAGTACGTTTATGCAAAAATAACTTAAACGATGCCAATAACAAAAAATAGTATGTATGCAGTCTAAAAAAATAGACAGTTTTCCTTTCTAATAAAGAAATGACAAGACGAAAAATCAATGCATATGGTGTTCACGTTCTTCGACAAATGATTAAGAGCACTTAATCATTATCTTTCCATGATTGGAATAACATGTTATTCTCTTTTTAGAATTATGTTTTTTTTATTTATTTTCTTTTTTTTTTTTTTTTTTAATGTTTTATTGGTATGGTCTGTTTCTGTTTATATGTTTGTATTTGTTTTTGTGTTTTTGTTATTTTGTGTGCGTTTTTATTTTCGTTGTCGCAATAATGCGTTTTGTAAAATTTAGAAGTCCCAAGTACAGTTGAAACAGTTTTTGTAATGATAAGCTGTCGGATTCGTTATTCACCACGACAACTAGCATGCAGGCATGTCGATCCGTTATAAAATGTACGAGATATTGTCATTTGCTTGAGGTATTTGATCTCTTTCTATCACATTTATTTTGGTTGTACGCAGACTAAACTAATCTTTTTCTGCATGGGTTTTTACAAATTTAAAGGTTACTTCTTCCACCGTATCTAGGTTACCGGGAATCATAATTGAAAATATGTAATAATGAAAAAAATACAACATTTCTATACTTATTATATCCAAAATATGTGTGTTTATTACCACCAATAGGGATAAAAGAATTACAATAAATCAGAAAACGATATCGACACAAACAAAATAACTGTCTTTGTCATACTTTTTACAATAATTTAAATCATAATTGTTATTTGTAACTACCACATTTTCTCCTTTGTAAATCACAACTCAGGTAACAAAATATTTTATTTCATTTTTATTTGCAGTAATATATTGAAGAAAAAAAACGCATGCAAGGGAAACAAAGAACATATGTTTGCATGGCCTTCGTCCGGTATCATATCGCACTGTGTTTTAAATGACTCGCGCAGTGTAGTAAAAACATATATATCACTGAAAAAGAAGTATTTCAGAGTTACTTAGAAGGCATTCGAAGTTACATAGTTAATAGATTTTGCAGATACTTATCAATGAAAAATTTGTGCACGTGGACAAATAAAGAACAAGTGGGTTTTATTGAATTTTTTTCAATTGGATTACTTTTAAACGAAAACAACTTTGAAATTGTGGATTTAGTTGATTTTTGTTCTATTGTGGACTGATTTTGACGAAAATAATTGACAGGTATGTTTGATAAGATACTCTTACATTTGATACAGATCGAGGCGTTTTCTCTTCACAAAAAATTGTTCGCAAAACGTAAATCAGTATCGGGAGGAAAAAATATTTTGAATTATGAAATTATCGGATCGGGATACAATTCTCAGATCATACGTGTTTGGCATCAAATGTAGAATTTGCCTTTCAGAGTAAAACAAAAATTGCAAAAACATGTAAATAGTTTGAGAAAAAAAACCGATATAACTGCAACACCCATGTGTCTTTCCTATCTCGATGCCGTTTACTTTGAATCGATTCCTTGCTTGTTCATGTAAGTGTTAATTAAAGTATTAAGAAAATATGAAAAAAATCGCTCCTGTTAACTTTTGTGGCTTTGTACCCGAAAGTCATATGGGGATATAATTTTAATGATAAGAAGCGACATTGCAATGAATGACTGGGAAGTACTGGTATATGAAAGTAAGCGAAATTTGTAATATACATAGATATATGGATGGATAGATACGTACATAGGTCTCGACATAGGTAGATATATACTTTATTCTTTAAAATCTAAATACAAGTTTACAGAGAAAGTACAATATAAATACAAATAAAAGTACAATATAAATACAAATAAAAGTACAATATAAATACAAATACAATAGTTCAGGATAAACAGATGCAGTTCGATAATGTAAAATGAAGTACAACTTTATGATGACAAACTTAATAAAAATAAATTACAATTAAACCGAACTCTTAAGACATTATGAAATGTCGAAAGTTCTACATCACACTGTCCAAATGAATGAAACTAGAAAACGATGACATGTGATGGGTTAATGCTTAACTTGCACCATTAAATGTACACGTTATCGTATTCAAAGCGCATTGATTAACAATTTGAATGATGATGTATTGATTGGTTGGTTTTCTTTTGCTTAACGTTCAGTGGCAAAAATTTCATTTATATTCAGGACGGGAACTAATTTACCAATCAAATAGGTAACTTACGCAAAGGGGTTTCATTGGGTTAAAGGACAAGAAATTCAGACTGACAATGGAGAATGTTCGAACTTTTGTCTTGCAACAAGTAACCTTTTGCCCAACAGAGAGATCGTGCAAGTGGTCTTTAGCGTGTAGATGCTGAACACTCTCTCTACTCAGAGCACCAGATTTAACGTACCCATTTCGACCTGTTGTGTTTGCGTATTTAAACAAAGCGCACAGCTTAAAAGACATCCTTCTTTATCATTGGTTAATCGTTGGATTGGATTGGGGTGTGTGGTGTGGAAAAAGGGGGGACTCCTAGTGGCCATATTTTTATATTCCAGTTAACCTCTTAGTCGCATATTCATTACGATAGCAAATAAACGAGAATGTTTGTCCTGCCTCGCACTACGTGAACACTATTAATTCGATTTTTGATGTTGACCGCTCTTGGTATGCACTGCGGACACATTATTTTGATTCTGAGCCAACCAGTCTTTGTAGTTACTTCTAAATGCCGTATGCTTTATAGGAAATCACCAAATACCACTTGTTTAAAAGTCTTTCGAATGAATCGGGCGTGATCAAAGAACCATTCATCATCCGCAGTTAAGTTGAACAGGCTACGCCGTGACCACAGAGGTGGTTGGGTACACCTAAAAAATCCTAAGTTATTTTAACTAATTTACGTGATACAGCTGAAGAAATGAAAAACAAATTGGCATGCAGAGTGAACCAGGTTTTGCGGTTAGCTGTAATAGACATTTCCAGTATAACTCTCTCAAAGGATATGCTGACTTGGCAATTTCTTATTATGCAATCATTTGACAGTATGATAAAAAAGTTGAAGTATTTTCAATTACCGTACTGACTGATCAATTAAAGAAATGTACATATCATAGAGCGATTAGATAATTTACAAAGTAGCATAAACAATAAATGTTGCATCAGACGTCTTTATGTATTCATGAAATGTGCGTCGAGATTTATATATGCTGTGTAACATATTTTGTGAATAAAAATGAAATGATAATAATACTTGGTGCGTCCGAATCATAATCCACCAAATGTCAACTTTGCCTGAGATAAATGGAACCTTAGTTTCTTCATAATTTTGAAATGTATTAATGGAATATTTATGAAAGTGTATGTATATAAATCATGTCAGCACCGAAACGCTGACGATTGAACTCAAGTAATTCCTCTGTGACTAACAGTCCACCAGCAGCGGTGCAGACCAAATGCTAGAATTTTTAAGAGTAGTTGACAAAAAAAATGGTAATTTTATTCTTAGAAATTCTACTAAGACAATGTAATAAATTGACTGAATCGAAACAGAATTCCGTTTGACCATGAACCTCTTATGACGTCATTAAAAAGGTGCACGACTTAAAAATTTACACAATAGGTTCAGTATCAGAAATTGGGGAATTTAAATATGGTTACTCTTGGACTTTTTCCGACCGGCAGTAAAACCCTTGCAAAAGTCCGTTTGTCTGTGCGGGATGTACAAGTACACAGCCACGTCCGGTCAGAATGGGGGATGTTAAATCCGATGCCTCGTGTTGAGAGACGGCCACGCTCTTTGCTCGTAAAGAACCCTGTCAACAACTTTTTGAGGTTGCCTGTTGTAAGGATTATTTTTTGCTCCTATCAAATATACCTAGCTCGTTTTCCAGTTGGTCCAATTTTTATCCCGACCTACATTCCGGACGGCATCTGTTGCAGAACCTTACTATTGTATTTATGGTTAATTTGTTCTCGTCCTTAAAATGCGTGAAATATTTGCCACTGGACATAAGGCAACTAACAATCAATCAATTATACCATACAGTTACCATTCTCCTAAATATTAACCATACGCATCAAGAGCGCTCGCAGACATGGTTATACCCACCACATTCTATATGTGTCTGTCCCAAATCGGGAGCTTTTAATTCAGTGGTTGTCGTTGGTTGTATATCATATTGGTTTTTCGTTTATTGTTTTGTACATAAATTGGGTTTCTCGTTTGAATTGATTTACATTTTGTCATGTCGGGGCCTTTTATAGCTAACTATACGGTATGGGTTTTGCTTATTGTTGAAGGCCTTCGATGACTTATATTTGCTTACATCTACGTCATTTGTCTCTCGTGGATATAGTCGACTCATTGAAAGCCATACAACATCTTATATTAAGCCGTAAAGCGTGGTTTATTTAGAGTAAGAAGTGATAGTCTGTTTCGGGACAATGTTTCGATGTTATACAATAAGAAAAGGACATTTATTAATATATCTTGATTAGAAATGGATAAATGATTCTTTAGAAGCACGTGCATCACGTATAAAAGTCTGGCAATAGCATAACATTGATATAGCTCATAAAAAATGTCCAATTAAAACATGCGCTGTTTAACATATAATAGCCATAAAATGAGGAACATCTAAAGATGTGGTTAAGATCTAAGAGAGAAATATTATGTAAATTATGCACTTTCAGGTTTATGCTGAATCAGCTTCAGTATCAAAATCTTAATTTCTTCTTTCATTACTGACAAAGAATTTAATTTCAAATAAGAGTTTTTTGGCGCATGTCTGTGTTCAGTGTAAGCGATGAGCTGGTCCTTCATTTTTACGTTTGCTTTTAAATGTTAAAACAAATATTTTTACAGGATACAAAAAAGATGTCTCTATTTTCATAAAATCATCGAGATAAAAAAAAAACTGAAAAAAGTATAAATGAGGGTATGGATTGGGTTTACAGAATAGAGAATAATTGGCAAATACTACAGAAAAGTGGACAAAAAATAAAGAATAGAGAAAAATAGGCCAAAAAATAATGAATAGAGAATAACGAGGTGCTAGAATATAAAGAATAGAGAATAATGGGCAAAATTTATAAAGAAAAGAGAAAAATGGCTTAAACATAAAGAATACAGAATACAGACCCTCATAAATAGAGATTATATATAAGCTGTTTGAAAAGTCAAAAAGATGACAATCAAAGGACCCTAATGTGACCAAAATATCTTGATGTCAACAGACATCAACAAAGGACATGTTTCTATTCAATTTGTCAAGCTTCATATCGCCAATAAGACAGCATACCAACAAAAACTAAATATTTTCAACTAGTTTGAAGCAGCCATTCTCTTCTCTATTAAAACCTCTCAAACCATTATTTGAAATAGTAGAGCATGATTCTTTTCAATATTTCAAAATTATCACTGTACAATTTGGGGTCGAATCTGGGATCCCTTGCACAGTAAGCCAATGTACTACTAACTAAGCTAAAGGTGTACTCTACTAGCACAGCTTTCAGAAGGCGGTTACTTAAGTAAGCACCGCTACACTTCCCTCGTCTAAATAAAGTATCATTAAAGACTTTTACACTTCTTTTCTTATCTTAACGCTGTTTTACAAGTGAAAAGTTAAGTAAACTGATTTAAAATTAAAATCTTGTACTAAACTGGTGTAATCTGCAAATCAAGAGTCATTCGTCTAAATATTTAAAGACTCTTACACTAATCATGCTAATCTTCACTTCTCCTTTACGCTGTATCTTACAAGTGAAAAGTTAAGTTAACTGATTTAAAACTGAAACTATAGTTAAGCTGCAGCATGTTTACCCCTGGTGATAATGTGCTTCAAAATAAAATATACTTAGCTGACGTAGTCTGTAAATCCTTTAATACATATAAAATTAGTATTTTATCTGTTTGACCTTCAGATGAAATTAGTTTTTAATTAAATAGATCATTGACCTTAATTTTCATGCCGTTATCTATGTCAATTAAGACCAACATTAGTGAAAACTGGTGTCAGAGAGGTGTTTCCTGTAGTGAGAGCACTATCTTAGGATCTGGGTGGGGTTGACGGAATAGAGAATTATGAAAAAAATAGAGTTAAATGGACAAAAGATAACAAATATGTGATAATGGGGTTCGAAAATATAAAATATTTTAGAGAATAATGGAGTGATAAGATAAAATGAATAGAGAATAATGGACAAAAATAGACCAAACAATGAAGAATAAAAAAAAGAATGAG